CGCTTAAGCTCAGCGCTCTTTAGGCATTGGAAGAGTTACTTGTCTTTTTATTTTTGGTTCATATGTGCTTCATACTTAGTGGTCTCACGATGGCTGTTAAAACTGTGTCATAAATGGCATCAAAGAGAAGAAGGACTTTTCCTGTCTGGTGATACTTTATGAGCTGCACTGTTAGAAGCATCATTTTTGGTGATGGCAGATTGTCATCCATTCGTTCCTAGTTTTCTGTTTCTCTGTTTCATCAAAGCAAAATCTAACAAACTACACTGCTGAGAACTGGTACAGCTGTATATTTGGTGATGAGTGAATTCACTTACCATTTCAGTCCTGTAGGATAGAGTAGAACTGGTCCAAAGTGTTTCCAGGATTGTAAATCTCTACAGGAACAGAGCTGTACCTTCCTCCTGAGGACTCACTGATGGATATGAAGAGGCAACATTGTGGTTAGCAGCCCAGTGCTTGCTCCATGTGCCAGCAAGCTTCCTGACATACCATCTCAGACCATAAAGACCAGAGCCATGTTATTCTTGCTCACTGAACCAAAGCAAGCTAATAGTGATGTTTTTAAATGATAGCTTACTGACTGTAGACCATGTTCTTTCTACAGGTATCTTCTGCTCTTTTTCCTAGACACCTTTTAAATCAGTAGCTTCTCTGTAGGGTAGCTTGTGTTTTCCGTAGACAGGGAACAGAGTATAAGCCACTCACCTTATTGGTATTTCCTTTGTTCCACATACTTTGAACCTGTTAGCAGGAGAGACCAGTCACTGGAACAGGGCATGGTGTTTGGTGAAATAGAGGGTTGGTGAAAAAGAGAAGACCCTCCATGCGCTAGATGGGCACGGCTCTCAGATGGCAACAGTGGGCTCAAATGTAGCAAGAATTGTTAAGGTGGTGTAGGACCAGCCAGTGTTTTCTTTTGATGTACATCAGGTTGCTATGAGTTAAAACTGACTCCCCATCACCCCATAACAACCAGGGATTGGCACTGTCTTGTAAAGGGCCAGAGCATCGATAGTTCAGGTTTTCTAGGCCATGTACAGTTTTTGTAGCATTTTCTCTATGTGTACTTGTGTTACCACACTTTAGAAATACAAAATTTACTCTTAGACCACACACAAAAAATAGGGTACCAGCTGCATCTGGCCTGCTTGCCATAGTTTGCTGATCCCTTATCTAAGCTATTAAGCTGAAGGGCATGGGCATAAATTAGAGATACATTTTAAAACTTGGGTCAACTAACACAAACTTGTCTGGCCTCTTTTCCTAATTTGGTAATACCCCAATCATTTCTTTGCCTTACCAGCAGTTTTATCTTTAGGATTCTTTTGACCTCTTTTGACATGCCTTTTCTGTTCTATAGAGAAAATACAAATACTCCATGTGCCGCAGGGAGCTGTCCTTTGTCTACTGCCACAATCCAAGCAATTTCTTTCTTGGTCTTTTGAAGCTCCATCACTCGTAATTAACTGCTTACCACTAAAACCCTTTACCATTAAAGCAGCTGCCACCCATGGCGAACACGTGTGTCTCAACTGCACTTGATGCTTCCAATGTCCTTTGTTTTCTAAAGTAGATGGTTGGTCCTTGCTTCTGAGGCACTTTTGTATCGACTCAAACGGCAAACCTTTTGGTAATCAGTGTTAACTGCATCACCCAGAGACTCCATTATCTGCGTACCTTCTTGTAAAACCTACTCGTTTGCTTGAAGCCTTTTTTTTTTTTAATGCTTTTGTGAAGTTAAGCATTTTTAAAAGTTGTTTCTTTTTTTTTAATCGTTTTATTAGGGGCTCATATGACTCGTATCACAATCCATACATACATCAATTGTGTCAAGCACATTTGTACATTCATTGCCCTCATCATTCTCAAAACATTTGCTCTCCACT